GTCCCACCACCACTCGCCTACCGAACAGCACACTGTAATGGGGCCAGTAGACGCAGAAGGAAAAATCTTGTACCACAGGTTATAAACAGTTCAGGTTATAGGAGGCCCAAGGTTAAAGAGGAAAGCAGCTTTTAGTGTCACATCCTCTTCTTATAATCCATCTCTGTGAAATCTCCTCTCTGCTGCAGGCGTCACTCTCATCCTTTCTGTCTTTTCTCCTCCTTCAACAGGTCAGTAAAGTCAAAAAGCCAACAACACAAGTTTTAAAGAGTAATAACTTCAGCCTGAGGCTGGTGTGGTGGTTTAGACCTTCAGCTCTGGAGGTAAACCGACTGCTGAGCTGTGACCCCAGCGAGGAGTCTTCCTATCTCCCATAACCTCACAGTCTGCTCTCTTGAAAGAAGCGAAAATCACAGCATTTCCTCCTGCTTTCCTGCTCGGGGAAATAAACTCAGCTGAGTATTTGCTCCGCGGCCTCGGCTCACAGCCGCCGAACGCTCCAATTACAGGAAGCATAAATCTCGGGGAGAGGAAATTGCAGAAGGACAAGAGGGAGGCGAGGGAAGTGGAGGGCATATCGCAGTGCCGGCTCTCCGGTGGAACTGGTAATAAGAGTGGAGCACCAGGCGATGCCTCCTGGGAAATCAGGCCACTGCCCCTGCAGATGGAGTTGACCGCCAACACCACCACCTCTGTTGTGGTGTTACTATAAGTTTCCTCAAGACATTTCTCAAGAGTGGGATGTGAACATAAACCCTGACTGGCCTGCAGAGACGTCTGAATCCAGAGGGTCTGCTCTGTGTTTGATGAGAAAACTGCTAACCCGTTAGCGCTTCATTTCTGCCTTAGCATGGCCCTGATTTATGGCTGGCGATCATCCAGCTGTGGAACATTAAACCCATAGATTTTAGGAATAAAACCTGCCTCATGCCAATATCCCTCACATGCTGTATGTCTGAGTGCTTAGGCGTACACTATATGGCCAAAAGAGTCTGTTTTTCTTGGTTTAGGCGTCTTACACAAAGATATTTTAAACAATAACTGTGTTTGTCTCTGTCCTGTTTCAACATGACAGTGTCCCTGTGCACAAAGCCAGCGCCTGGCCTGACTGGTTTTCCCAGTTTGGTGTGGAAGAACTTGACTGCCTTGAGCCCTGACCTCAACCCCATCCACCACCTCTGGGATGGACTGAAACACCGACTGAAGGCCAGGCGTGGCTGCACAATGCTCTGGTGTCTCAATGGGAGCAAATCACTGCAGCTGATTTCTTTAATGCCGCACACAGGCAGCGCTGTTAAGAAGCTAAACGGGCATCCAGACTAAAAACGGGCCCGTATCAAACAATGCAAGGGGCTGAAATGGTGTTTGGCTTCTCACAAACACAAGACAGGAAATATGATCTAAGAAGTCCAGTCAGAGTAACAGATCCTTGTGTCTGAGGCTCATCAGACACCAAAACTCTGCAGGTTTAAAACACTAAGAAACAGTGTTTTACAACTCTGGAAAGTTATCACAGCGGCAACTATCTCAGCTTCCATTGCAATGTTCACGATGGAAACAGTAAAAATACAGCACCCATGTTACAAAAATGTTGCTTGCATATTGCTGCCATTACTGACCTAAACTTTGTCTTTACCGTCTTTGATTATTCAGCATGAACAGCTGTTTGTGCCCCACGAGTCCTCTACTTCCCTCTTATTAGATTTGTTCTGACGCTGACTTTGATCCCTTGGTCACTTGTTTGTCTTTGACTAAACAGTTTCAGACCCCTCCTCTCGTCACATCTAACCTCTCATTTAACTCATTAGCCGGCAGAGAACAGCTGCTGTTTTCTGTCTTCAGCAGTGAGCACGATGAAGTAAGTCTGAAACACAGCGAGAACAGATTTCACCTGAGACATTTCCTGATGAAAAATGTCACATTGATGCCTAACATGCTGTCAGACAGATGAACCTGAGGCCCGACTACCTGCTGATGAAGAACTAACTGAACATACTCTCCGTCTGAACTAAATTACAGTTTTTTCTCAATTGCTTAAACAGTCTTTTGAACTAAAATTTCAAAACCATACCTCCATTTTTCAAAAAGCACAGCCATTTCTCTAAACTCTATGTGATCATGTGAACATTGTGAAAGCACAGACATTCAATATGGTTCACTCTATCAGCACAGGTTAAGCTCAATAAGCACACCCAGGTGAAAACACAAACAGTCAAAATCGATCACACACCAATCAGAAGCTTCAATAGATAAATAAAAGTTTTGGAACAATGGATCCAGAAAAATCTGAAGGAAGACATAGAGGACACCAGAGAGGAGGAGGAAGAGCAGTATGGAGAGGAGTAAGAGGTGAAGGAAGAGGAACAGTAGGAGTTGGAGGAGGAGATGGGATAGGAGGAGGAGGAGGAGGAGGAGGAGGAGGAGAACAAGAATCTGGCCTGTCCCAGACCAAGGACTGGACGCTGGGGCAGAATAATTTGTTGTTTGGTGTGTTGAGCTGTACAGCACACTAAGGAATGAAAAATGTGCAAATGTTTGTTATTTTTTTTGTTGTGTTCGTCATGTGAAAAGGTTTCTGGGGGGGGGGGGGGCAGAAGCAACATTACTAATAACCAGTGTGTAAGACTGTGTTGTAGTGTGTGTTTCTGATGTGTCGTGTCTGAGGGCAAAGTTTGGTTTTTCAGCAAGATCGAATGGTTTTGAGTGGAGAGTTTCATAATGACCTGAGAACGGGATGTTTGGGGGAATTGGGTGAGAAGTTGCGGATCTGTGTTTAGAGTTTCGAGAAAAAGAGGCATCATTTCAAGAAATGTGTTTAAGCAATCGAGAAAAGCTGTAAGCTATTCCAACTTTTACTTAAGTTCCCTCTGAAACCTCTGAAGGACCCCTTGAGGGTCCCTGAACTCCGGTTTTAGAACCACTCAGCTTTGGGAGGATTTTAACGGCTCTCACCCACAGCTCCTAATTAAAATTGATCCGTGGTTGATTAACCGCCTAGTTCTCTGAAATCAATCTGCCTGATGACGTTCAGAGGGGGAAAAAAACGAGGCCGAGTGCTGCTCAGAGTTTGCCGTTCAGTCAATTAAAAATATAACGAGTGAACTAAAACGCTGCAGCATGTCCGACTCTGAGAGCTTAATTAAAAATATTAGCGAGGCACTTACAGTCACATTACAGAACGATCAGCTGATCTTCTCCGGTGTGAGCTGCAATGAATCTGCGCAGTTTCAATTATTACTTGTATCATCAATCTGTATGTTCGGTTCAACATTTGAAAATACTTTATTTATAAAAACATGATCCACAGGTGTTCAACACACGTTAAATAGCGTATGTATAGATAAGAGTGTCAACGTTAAAGGGATATAAGAACCATGTTGATGGGACATTCTTAGCATTCGTTATTTCAACAGATCTCACTCCTGTTGTTTCAATTTCCGATGGATATGCTTTGAGTTTTCACATTACAGTTTCCATCATGTGTCAGGTGGTGCAAACAGGAAATACAAGGTTACCATGGAGCCAGTGGGCTAAGTGTTGGCTACTCAGGAGCCCTGTGTTTTAGCATCTATATTTCATTACACGTGAAGCTATGTTAGCTACTTCTAATTAGCTATCTGCTCAGTAACAATGGAAACAAACTACATTTCCTGGATTACTGTTGATACTGAAGAAAAAGTCTAAACATGATGCATATGAAGTTGTAAGGAGCACGTCTTCATTTTATTTCTTAAAAGGAGTTATGGACGTTTATGATCAGCAGACATTACAGAAACCCATATAGAGTGCTTGATGGCCGTGCACTTGATGGTCTGTGATTATTGGAAAAAGCCTGAAACATCCACAGTTTAGACTTTAAAACAGAATGAAATGACCTATAACCATTATCATATATTGATTTAACCTGCAGCGATCCTCTGCCTTTTCAGCATTACTGACGGGTATAATAACACTTTATATTATTTATTTGTATATTTAGTTGTTTGCTTTGCTTGTTATGTGAGGAGTGCACTGGATCCTGCGTACAGAACTCCAGGAAGGACTAAAGGAATCTGAATCTGGTCAGATGCTCTGTTGCACCTGTAACCACCACAACAGGGTCCTGGAGTACAACTGAACATCACTGCAGCAAGGCAAGAAGTTCAATCACCGGAGCTCAGCAAAGAGAAGGCTTTAAGGGTGTTAAGTTACTCTTTAAAGAGTCAGAACACGCTCATTATAAAAGGCCCTGCAGTTATTTCTGCCGCCACTCCAACACAGGGGAGGTGAATGGGATGAAGTCTGTGAGGCTCACAGCGTTGGAAATGTAGTCTGGAGTCTTTTTTTTTTTTTAAAGCTCTGCGCAACCAAACTAAATTCCATTTAGACAGATATCTAAAAAAACTCTCAGCACATAAAAGCAAACCTGCCTGGATGAACACCACGGGAGGCAGTGCTTAAACTGGGCTGTGTGGAGTACCAGCACTTCTACCTAGAGTCTACATGACTACCTGTAATTCCTACTGTATACTATGACCTCCTGGCTGCCTGTCTGGCTGAAAAGGTGCAGCTAAATTACAGTTAGTCTACAGGACGTATTATTACCTACTGGAACACTTATCGTCAAGCCCTCAGTAGAGGTACATGGGAAACTATGTTGTTTTAATTTTAATTGTGGGTTTAATAACTGTGTGCCTGATCGAATGTGAAGTCATATCTCAATGGTTTCACTAAATCTCACAAATTTACTGAGATAAACCTGCCTTAAAAAACCTGACTGGTCGGAGTTACGTCTCTTTTTATGAGGCAGCAGCTGAATTATTTCCTCAGACGACACTTTAAGAACAATTTAAAACGACTGAAACCTTAACAGACACTGACTGATGTCCTCACATACTGTTCCACTGGTCGATTTCAATAAATGAAGAGCTGTAATTTAGTTTTTGACGAACACCTCAATCAATCAGCGTGTCACTGTCTCAGGTTTCCATTGCGTTGATGCTGTGTATTTGCTGGCAGACTCACCAGCGAGCAGGGCCCGTCGGACACCCGGGAGATGACTCTCTGCTGTTTGCAGGACGCCTGTCGCCTGTAGCACTCGTTCTGGTAGGTGTCTCCGTTTGAGCCGCACACAGGGACGTAGTGTTTGTGGCACTGGAAATCAAACACAATCAAATGTTAATTAAGTCTCAATGTGACCGCTGCTCACAGGACACCGAGCGCCAAACCTGATGATGAAGATGATGATGATGATACATAACCAGCTGTGTGGCGAGCAGAGAGAAGCTGTGACCGTTTCTGCTGCTTCATTAAAGAAAAGCTTAGAGTTCTCACGGGTTGTATAAAAGTCAGAATTCACTCGAGGACGCTGTTTCCTCCGATGATGTCTGAAGGAAGCTGACTTTTAATTTACTCATTTTGCCGACTTACACTTACTATGTATGTCAGAGGTCACACGCCTCTGGAGCAACCATGGGTTAATTGTCTTGCTCAGGGTCACATTGGTGTGTCGCAGTGCGAACGGATCCAGGGGCGTCTTGTCCACTGTTCCATCGCCACGCGAGATTCTGAGCAGATACAGGAACCTGTGCAGATAAAGTTTATTTGATTAACTGCTTGGTGTTATTTTTGAGGGGGTTGTGTCAGGGGCGTACGTTTGTTTACAGAAGTGGGGGAGGCAAAATGAACATATGTGCTATAATCAAATGACAAATTATGATGAAATTGGTTATTGTGCTTTGCATATTAATAGTAAAATAACTAAAATGGAAATGTATTATTAGTTCACTAATCCTACTTAACATCATGTTTAGTTTGCTTTATATATTTGATATGATAGATAATCGTGCATTTGTACTAGAAATACCTCTGACCTTTACTCCTATCTTTAATGTTCAATTCTAGTATATCTTTATGAGATTATTAACTGTAAATAAAAATATTTAGGGATGCACCGAATGTTCCGCAACCGAAGTTAATCGGCCAAAAATAGCAAAAAAAAACACTTTCGGTGTTCGGCCTAATAAATCAAAAGACCTAAGAAAAGTTTTAATTACGTTGACATGTTGGCAGTGTGGAAGTATTTTAAAGTGTCATAGAAAGATGCAAAAATGGCCATTTGCAAACACTGTTCTGCTGAATTGTCTCCCAGCACATCCACTCCATCTGTGGCTGACTTCTTAGAAAAGAACCGCTTTGAGTGTTTCTGTCGCTCGTCTGTGAGAAGGCGATTAAGCTAGCCGCACTTACATTTGGAGTGCACACGTATTCAAGCCTTTACGGTAGCTGACAGGCAGGTTAGAGACTTTATCCTGCCAGTCTGTCTCTTTACAAAGACAAGTGTTGCAGTATGAGAGTCCTGCCTGAAGAGAGGCTGTGAAGTCTTCATGTTACGCCGTACGAGAACCACATACAACATTATTTATCAAACTGGTCGGACTTGATGAATTTAGCACGAAGAGGAAACACTTGTGACAACGTCTGGTTTTCAAAATAAGGTGTCTATACAGGATGGAAATAAGATTAATCGGATTATATTCACAGAACATATTACATGTGTCCATTAAAAGTAAACGGACACATGTAATTTGCTCTCGGGCCCCGGACCCCCCCACCATAGGAAAAAGCACATTTGGACTATTTAATTTATTCAAATGAAAAAAAAAGGCAAATTAAAAGGAAAAAAAAGTGAAAAACCTTGTTCGGTGTTCAGTATTCGGGAAAGTTTTTCATTATATTCGGTTTCAGCTTCGAATTTTCATTTCGGTGCATCCCTAACAAATATTAATTGACAACACCTGTTTATTCAGCCCTGAGTGATGTCTGCAGGTATAACTTTGTCATTACTGTAAGCCACTGACAAAGACATCAAGAACAAGACACCAACAGGCAAAATAACCTTAAATGATAAAAAAAAGAAAACACTGAGATGCTGAAGGATGCTGAAGCAGACAAACTGAGACCCGTCTTCATTTTAACGGAGGGGTCTGAGGTCAACGACACATCAACGGGACTTTTCTTCCTGTGATGAAAGTTATGAAGTTAAGGCAGGGATGAGCTCATTGGTTGAGTTAAGTGAGCGGGTGGGGCCAAAAACCATCAGATGATGTCAGCCTGATGCCAGCGAGGAAGTTTAAAGGTAAGACAGGAAGATAATAACTGATTGTTAGGAAAATACAATCTAAGAAATTGAGATAAAAACAAATTGGCAGTTTTGTAACATCACGTGTGACGAGAGTGAAAAATGATGTGAATTGTTCAGCAGTTAGAGGAGGTTCAGGAGCTTCGTTCATTCTGCATGAAGGTTAGCACAAAATAACTTGACTCTGCAGTCAGACACAAACTGCAGCTGCCAAGGACACATATCAGTGTTCAGCAATCCATATTCTATTAACTCGCAGCCATCAATCATTTAGCAGGAATCCCCTGCAGAGCTGACCTCCGTGACCTCTGCGCCGACAGCACAGACTGCACTAACACTCGGTTCAGGTCCACGTGTGACAGAAACAACTCCTGTGGCGTCGACAGCTGCTGCTGCTTTATGGGAATACATCAATGACAAAACTATTGAGCAGTGATCAATCCAGATTTGGGAGCAAACAGGAGACATGACTCATGAGCTCAGAGAGAGTTTTGGGAGCAAGTAAAGGCTGAATCACGCTGTAAACGAGCAGCAGGGCGTTTCTACAAAGAGACTTGCACTCACTTTTGGCAGTTTGTCTCCTTCACATCCAAACTCCAGCTGAGAGAAGTTTTTTTTTTTTTTTGATTTGAAGACGTGGGAGTCATCCTGTGAGGCTGCTTCTTAGTTTTCTTTGTCAGTGTTTTGCTAAAAATCATCAGTCTAACATGGATGTTGAAGCAAAAAGTTTCCTCTCACAAAATGGCAGCAACACATTTGTGGTTCTCTGCTGTCTCCCTGCAGTGTTCATTTCATTTCTTTTGTCACGTATGGAAACTTTAAGCCATTAGGGTTATTGTTAAATGCAAAACATAGTATAAATTAAAGGAGGTGGTTGGGTCAGAAACCGGACTTTCAACCAAGGAGTTTCTAGTGTGGAAAAAAAGTACACTTTAAACAAAAAAACAAGGTATCAGCAGTATTACCTTTACACAGTGGCAATAAAATATTTCTTGTAAATCTCAACTTAAACATTAATGTAATATAAACCGAAGCTATTTGCCACTGCCAGGGAATTACCTTTTATCTAGCTTGTTAAAACAAGTTAGGGTCCAGAGCCTCAATCATAGCAGGCACCTTCTGAGCAACAGGCTAACATAGGCCTATATATAGCCTATATAAATCAGTTTTTCGCAAAGGCATTTGTTCGCTTGTCTTGCGTTTTTGTTAATCTACATCTCCCACACGCTGCATCCAGCGTAGTCTGCTGAAGCCTCCCACCACTGCTTGTTTGGGTGGCTGATCAACTTCCCACCCCTCGTGTGACCCATGGTTTGACTGTATGTGTATTCAGAGCCAATGAGCAACCAGCAATAATAAAAACTGCGTTAACGTGCAATAAAATAATTGACAGCGTTAATTAATTAATGCCTAACACGATAATAACGCATTAACGTGCCGTTGAATATGTGTTGCCACAAAACTGATTTTTTCACTATTTTAAAAAACATATTGCCATGGCACAATGCTTTAACGTCATTATTAAAGTATCCAAGAGACTCCCGTTCGTCTGTGGTCAAGAACATTGAGCTTCTTTAAAAATGTACATTCAAACTGTGTGGTCCTTCTTTGGGAGTCTGCTCAGAGTCGCGTTATAGGTTCGAACTCTACTGGCAGCTAAACCTGACTGACTTCAGTTGGTTACTAGCTTGTCAACTACCAAGAAACAACGTGTACAATCACATTTCACATTTTACTCATTTAGCTGACACCTTTATCCAAAAGGACTTACAACTGCTATATATGTCAGAGGTTGCAAGTGTCTCATGGTGCTTTCAGACCGTTGTGCGTTGGGGGTGGTCCGTTTACATACAAAGTCAATGCAAAGACGCAGAGAGCCGCAATTTCCTAATGGGAGGTGCGGAGGGGGCACTGCCGGTGACGCGAAGGCCTTCATGTGAGTTGAAAATTTTCAACTCGAGCGAGAAAGTAGCATCACGCTGAGTTGCGATAGCCAAAATTCTGCTCTGACAACTACGCCGTTTCCCCGCGGGAGGAGCTCGGAGTAAACTGCTTTCATTAAATTATCTTTTTACTTTAGTTTTTGGGATTACAACGTTGATTTATCGTCACTGGAGCTTCTTGGTAGCAAGATTCCGTGCACATCCGGTTCCAGTGTTGCTGTTAGCGTCAGTCGGCACCAAAAAGCTCTGTTGGACTTCTACTTCATGTTTATATAAAAACCTGGCCAAAACTGGATGTTACTTGGAGAAAAGAAAGCGAGGAAGTTGAACTAACTGGTGAGTTCAGAAAATACGTCTGTTACTTCTGATCTACTACTGATCGATCCGAACTCCATTCAGAAAACAAGCATTTAATAAGTTGTTGTCCTGCTGACAGACAAAGCATAAATTCATATGTTAAACAAATCGGCATCATATTGTAGTGATTTCAGCATCAGTTTGATCTGCTTATTGAAATTAAATCACAGCAAATTATTTACTTTGCTGATTGCTGATTTTTTAAAATAGTCTCAGACTAGCAGTTTCCCCATGCTTCCAGCCTTTGTGCTAAGCTAGGCTAAAAGCGTCCTTCTTTCCAGCTCGCTTTTCTAACCTTCATGCCACCACTACACCTTTTTGGTATCTGGAAGCAGAGCTGAAAAAATCCCAAAATGTCACTCTCTCTTCCAAACACACACATTTGTTCCTCTATCTCATTAACATAAAGTATTCCCTCGCTCTTTACACTAACCTAAACTTAATTCTAACATGAACACCAAAACCAAGTCTCAACCCTCTAAAAGCATGGGCTGGTTAGTGTGCACTCAGGTTAAAGTCCCCAAAGGGATATAAAAACATGATTCACACACACACACCTGCTGCCCTTCTCTTGTAATTACAGTCAAATTAAAGAGAAATATGGCACCTCTCTAAACTCAGTGAGAAAAACAACAAACAGCCTCATCAGAAGCTGCCGAGCGTGGCGTTAATGAGGTTTTCAGTGAGAGGGACTCACTTGGATTGATACCAGA